AAACAATGTTTTAAAATTCTCACAGGCCAGGCGCAGTGGCTCATGCCTATAATCCCAACACTTTGGGAGGCCGAGGCAGGTGGATCACGAGGTCAAGAGATCGAGACCATCCTGGTCAACAAGGCGAAACTCCGTCTCTACTAAAAATACAAAAATTAGCTGGGCATGGTGGCGCGTGCCTATAGTCCCAGCTACTTGGGAGGCTGAGGCAGGAAAGTCACTTGAACCTGGGAGGCGGAGGTTGTGGTGAGCCGAGATCGGGCCACTACAGTCCAGCCTGGGTGACAGAGCTAGACTCTGTCTCAAAAAGAAGAAACAAACAAACAAAAAACAAAACCAGACAAAGTCTGGATTTATATGACATAATAACTCCTGAAAAATAACATATTTAAAGACAAACCACCATTGTCTTACTCTGTTGCCCAGACTGGAGTGCAATGGCATGATCTTTGCTCACTGCAACCTGTGACTCCCAGATTCAAATGATTCTCATGCCTCAGCCTTCCAAGTAGTTGGGACTGCCAGTGTGCACCACCATGCGTGGCTAATTTTTTTTATTTTTGGTAGAGATGGGATTTTACTATGTTGTCCAGGCTGGTCTCCAATTCCTGGCCTCAAGTGATCCATCCACCTTGGCCTCCCAAAGTGCTGGGATTACAGGTATGAGCCACTGTGCCCAGCCAGGGGGCTATGTCTTTTTTAAATACCACTGAAATATGGTTGTTCGTGTTCTACAATGGCAAAGGTTAAAAACAGCAGATTTATAAGGTCGGGTGTGGTTGCTCATGCCTGTAATCCAAACACTTTGGGAGCCTGAGACTGGTGGATCACCTGAGTTGAGGATTTCCAGACCAGCCTGGCCAGTTTGGCCAGCCTGGCCAACATGGTGAAACCCCATCCCTACTAAAAGCACAAAAAATTCACTGGGCATGGTGGTGGGTACCTGTAGTCCCAACTACTAAGGAAGTGGAGGCAGCATAATCATTTGAACCCAGGAGACGGAGGTTGCAGTGAGCCAAGATCAGGCTACTCCACTCCAGCCTGGGCAGCAAGAGCGAAACTCATCTCAAAAGAGAAAAAAACAGATTTATAATTCTTATTATTTTGAGGTTGTATGCAAAGGGTGAATTTCATATGGTTTTGGGTAGAATGTATATTGCTACTGAATATTTGTGCTACAATTGGGCAATTCTCTATGACATTTATCATTGGTTCAAAGATAAATAGGTTCCAGTGGATGAGGATGATCATAATCATAATCATAACAAATACTTATCTAGTGTTTCCTGTGTGCAAACTAATATCTTTGGCACTTTATGTATATATTTATTTAGTTACCACAATAACTCTGTGAAGTATGACAAGGTACATAAACTATCATCCCAATTACACAAATGAGGAAACTTAGGTGCAGGGAGCTTAGTGATTTCCTGACATTCCCACAAGTAGTTAAGTGGCAGAGCTGGACTTTGACTCCCAAAGTATGAGCTCCTATCCATTCTGTGCACTGCCTCTTGATCCCTGGTCTGTATTTCCTAGCACCATGTGATATTTTATTAGGTTGCTATTGTGGCCTAAAAAAAAATCATTAAATCTCAGTGGTGTATTACAGTAAACATCTTTTTTGCTCACACATCTGCAGATTGCCTGGTAGTTTGTTGGCTAACTTGAGCTAGGCTCAGCTAGATGACTGCAAGTCTGGGTCTGGGTGTGCTCTACATATCTCTCATTTATTTAGAATCAGTAGGCTAGCCAAGGAATGGTGATGACAGAGGGAAAAGGAGAGCAGATAGAAAAACTATAATGCGTCCTATGTCCTAAGCTCAGAATTGACATGCTGTCATTTTTGCTTATATCCCTTTGGCCAGTGACAATCATATGTCTGAGGCTAATATTAAAGAGGCAGGGGCCAATCGGAGTGGCTCATGTTTCTAATCCCATTACTTTGGGAGGCTGAGGTGGGAGGATCACTTGAGCCTGGAAGGTCGAGGCCGCAGTGAGCTGTGATTGTGCCACTGCCCTCCAGCCTGGGTGACAGAGACATTTGTCTCAAAAATAAAGAGATGGGGAAATACACTCCAATTCTACTCAGAAACATGCAAAGTCATATGACAAAGGGTGTGGATACAGTGAGGAGGTGAAGAAGCGAGATCAGTGGTTCCATCGACCAAAGACATCATCACGAAAGTTTTAATTTCTGACTTAACCGAGTCTACCTCTTTATAGCCATGACATCATATTAGATGTTGTGCTCACCTGTAATTTATTTGCCCTATACTTGCTTTCCTTTCCCCATTCATGCATTCCACTGCTGCCTCTTTTAAGAAGTTTCTTCATGTGCAATTGTATGGTAGCTACCCCCGTGTATGGTAAACATACCTGACAGCAATAACTGAAGCATACCATGAGAATAACCCTGTATGGCAGATGCACCTGAGCGCATGTTTGGAGTTCTGAGCTTAGAAATCTGGTTCTTTATCCATAAGGAGCATCTGAACCTCCCACTACCCCGTCCTGTGGAATGCAAGCTGTATGGGGGCCTTATGTTTTGGAGGTTGGTAGGGGGAGGGCGCTAGGTGAAAATGCTATGTGAACTACATGCTATTTGCATCCTTTGTGGTTCTCCTGCCCAGTCCACCGTCACTGGGCTGTGTAGTTCTCCTGTCTAGCCTGCTGCCACTGGATCATCCCTGTGTGTAACATCACTTAAAGATAGTAAAAGAATCAAAATTGCTTTTGAGAATGTATTTCTTATATTATTGTAGTGGAATGGACGGTGGCCCCCAGTAGGAAATGCCCATGACCTAATTCCTATAACCTGTATTACTTTATATGGCAAAATATATGATTATGTTAAGGATCTTTTTTTTTTTTTTTTTTTTTTGAGACAGAATCTCGCTCCATCACCCAGGCTGGAGTGCAGTGGCACAATCTTGGCTCACTGCAAGCGATTCTCCTGCCTCAGCCTCCTGAGTAGCTGGAATTGATTATAGGTGCACCACCATGCTTGGCTAATGTTTGTATTTTAGTAGAGATGGGGTTTCACCATGTTTGTCAGGCTGGTCTCAAACTGCTGACCCTGTGATCTGCCGGCCTAAGCTGCCAAAGTGCTGGGATTACAGGCGTGAGCCACCTCACCCGCCTGATTATGTTAAGGATCTTTGGAGAAGGAGCTTATCCTGGGTTATTTGGGTGGACCCTAAATGCATTCACATGTGAACCCTGAAAGAGCCAATCCTTTAAGATGGACGCTGAGTGGCTAACTGGGCCTAAATTAAAAATAGAGCCAACAGGCCATTTGCTTACTAGAGGTCACGCACATACTTTGCAGTCCTGGAAAACTCCATGCTTGCTTAACTTTGGGACTTTTATAGCTGCATAATAGGCCAATAGACTGTGACCTGTGTGGACCAATCAGAACTCAGTAAGTCAAGGAATCAGAACTAAGGAAGTTTGCTTCTTCTTTTGCATAAGTGGACCAGAGTGGGGAACCTGGGTGGGAACTTTGTCTATAAAAGATAACCATTTGGCCGGGCATAGTGGCTCACACCTGTAATCCCAGCACTTTGGGAGGCCGAGGTGGGTGGATCACGAGGTCAAGACATCGAGACCATCCTGACCAATATGACTCCATCTCTACTAAAAATACAAAAGTTAGCCGAGCGTGGTGCTGCATGTCTGTAATCCCAGCTACTCGGGAGGCTGAGGCAGGACAATTGCTTGAACCTGGGAAACAGAGGTTGCAGTGAGCTGAGATTGTGCCACTGCACTCCAGCCTGGTGACTCCAGCCCAGTGACAGAGCAAGACTCTGTCAAA